TCTTTTCGACAAAGATATGCAAAAGGTGTCGTGCTACTAGGAGAACATAATATACGAAGAGGTCTTTTTCTAGCTCTGTCAGAATTATTTCAAAGCCTTCATTCGATTTAAAAACTTGCCAATTCTGTATCAGGATCATATGAGTGCGAGGAGGTGTTTCTTTACCTAATACTACACCTGTTACTTGTCGACAAACTAATGCAAAGGGTGTCGTGCTATTAGGAGAACATAATATCCGAAGAGGCTTTTTTCTAGCTCTGTCAGAATTATTTCAAAACTTTCATTCGATTTAAAAATTTGCCAATTCTGTATCAGGACCATATGAGTGCGAGGAGGTGTTTCTTTTCCTAATACTACACCTGTTACTTGTCGACAAAACTTATGCAAAAGTTGTCGTGCTACTAGGAGAACATAATATACGAAGAGGTCTTTTTCTAGCTCTGTCAGAATTATTTCAAAGCCTTCATTCGATTTAAAAACTTGCCAATTCTGTATCAGGATCATATGAGTGCGAGGAGGTGTTTCTTTACCTAATACTACACCTGTTACTTGTCGACAAACTTATGCAAAAGGTGTCGTGCTACTAGGAGAACATAATATACGAAGAGGTCTTTTTCTAGCTCTGTCAGAATTATTTCAAAGCTTTCATTCGATTTAAAAATTTGCCAATTCTGTATCAGGATCATATGAGTGCGAGGAGGTGTTTCTTTTCCTAATACTACACCTGTTACTTGTCGACAAACTTATGCAAAAGGTGTCGTGCTACTAGGAGAACATAATATACGAAGAGGTCTTTTTCTAGCTCTGTCAGAATTATTTCAAAGCTTTCATTCGATTTCAAAGTTTGCCAATTATTATCAGGATCATATGAGTGCGAGGAGGTGTTTCTTTTTCTAATACTACACCTGTTACTTGTCGACAAACTAATGCAAAAGGTGTCGTGCTATTAGGAGAACATAATATACGAAGAGGTCTTTTTCTAGCTCTGTCAGAATTATTTCAAAGCTTTCATTCGATTTAAAAATTTGCCAATTCTGTGTCAGGACCATGTGAGTGCGAGGAGGTGTTTCTTTACCTAATACTACACCTGTTACTTGTCGACAAACTTATGCAAAAGGTGTCGTGCTACTAGGAGAACATAATATACGAAGAGGTCTTTTTCTAGCTCTGTCAGAATGATTTCAAAGCTTTCATTCGATTTAAAAATTTGCCATTCTGTATCAGGATCATATAATGTGCGAGGAGGTGTTTCTTTTCCTAATACCACACCTGTTACTAGCTTTATTTCGATTTAAAAATTCGCTAATTCTGTATCAGGAGCATATAATTTGCGAGGAGGTGTTTCTTTTTGGGAAATATAGTTTATTTAAACGTCGTACTGTGTCGTCCCTCAGGAAAACGTGGGAACATGTTGCAAGGTCTTGAAAAACAAAAACCTTGGTGGTCGAATGGTAATCGCCACATCTTTTTCTAATACTACACCTGCTAATTGTCGAAAAACTTCTGTAAAAGGTGTCGGGCTACTAGGAGAACACCAAGATTAATAAGATAAAGTGTTTTCCGTAAAAATTTTGGAGTAGATTTTTGGTGATAAACCAAGGTTATACACTTGGTTCTTTTGGGCTGGAAGCAAAATTGTCTGAGATCTAGCGGAAAAAAACATTTTATTATAGAATTTGGCCTGTAGAATCCATAATTTCAAACAGTTTGAAGATTGGGCTACTAGATCAAAAGTTACAGCCTCTTGAAATTTTTTCGAAATTGATTTTTTGTCCATAACTTTTGATTGGGAGGTCTAATCGAAAAATCTCTCGGGAAAACACTTTTTCTTATAAATCTTGGTGCGCAGAATCCAAAACGATTCGTACTTTTTCGAGTAGAACTCTTAATCAAAAGTTGTGGACAAAAAACCAATTTCCTAAGAAAATTCAAGGGGCTGTAACTTTTGATCTAGTAGCCCGATCTTCAAACTGATTGGGCGATGTGCTTTAGGTGTAGAGTAATCATCTTGGCCAGATTTGGGGATGAAGTCAATTTTTCGCTCTCCATTTGCGCAACTGAACTTTCTGCTTTTCGAGCGTCCTCCACCTCCATTGGATGGTTATAGCGGGTCTTGGCAGTTCACAGAGGACATTCCTGTTCAAATGACTCCACAGTGGAGTTGGCAAGAAGATCCACTTTGTCCTGTAAGTCAGCAGGACTTGACAGGGGTCCCTCGAAGGGTTGCTTTCTAAGTTCTTCACCAAAGAGATGTTTGTAAAGGGGAATATACGTTACCTTGTGGTTACGATAACCGTTCAGAACGGCACCATTGCAGTTAATTTCTGGTAGGAATTCTGCACCTCTAAGTGCCGCTTGACTGCCACAAGATCTCCAGGTTCCCCCGAGACCCAGATGGCAGTCTTGCGGAGCCTAGGAAGGCAGTCTTCCTGGACTACCTTTAGGTGTGCAGCCTAGGTTGCCAACCACCTCCTTCAGCCACTCAAGGCAAATAGTTGTTCCCGCACGATGTCCTTAGGATTTCGCCCGAGTACTTCCACTCCATGAACGTGAATGCCAGTGTAGAGCCTTTTAGGGCGAACAGATGCTGGTCAAGAACCTTGGCCACTTGATTTTGTACCATATCCGCCGGGTTAGCTGTTAACCCGTGGTATGATCGCTACACGAAGTTGCCTTTTGGCAGCTTGCTTGTAACTACTCCGTGGTGCTCCAGCCTTACGGACATCCACCTTTGGTTGGACTTTCGGTCTTCAGTCTGGATTCTCACTTGGAGCCGTTACACACCCCCTTGATCACTGGACCACTCAAGCCCCAACACTGAGGGGTCAATTGTCTAACTAATAGTTCGTGAATTAGGAGCAGAAACAACTCCTTGTACATTCTAATCTCCTGATGCAAATAAAACAAGTAATGAGATTTAAAAAACAAATCTATTTGTCCTTAATTTAATTGCACAGTTCACCTTAAAATTAAATGCTGGCGATTTACTTAAACACTAAACAATTTACAATACTAATACATCTGACAACCGCGTAACAAAGAAAGGAGCACTAGAGCTCTTTAAAAAAGATACTAAAGAAGTAGTAAGAGGGTCACTACTAGACGAAGGCGTAAGTCTTCTTGCCCCTTCACTTTTGAACTGCATACTGTAAAAAACTGCATATATAAAAGCAGAAAACAAATTTTATCCTACCTCACTAGTCGATGTCGAGTTTCTTAAATGAACCCTCGACGCCAAAGATGTCGCTCAAATTCGCAGGTTTGCCAACTCTCTTACTATCGTCGGCGATGTACGAGTCCTCCTTTACGAAATAATCGGCGTAGTCGTGTAACCTTCTGATCCAGTCCTCTGAAATGAAACGCGCCAATGGCTTGATATCAACCTGCGACACTCACCGTGGAGTTGCTTCACGGACGGCTGCGAGCCTCCGTAGTCACTCGGCAGGCAATCGATCGGAACGTACTGGTACATGCTCTTGATCGAGTCCGTATGGAAGTGCAGCTGAAACACGCTCAGTCACTTCATACCCCTCTCCCCACAAACACGAACCGAATTGACCAGATCCTTCTTGAGGAATGGCTTCATCAGGTTCATCAATATATCCATGTACGATCCCACGTTAAAGAAGTGTATGCCCTTCAGTCGCACGAAGAGCGCGTCCTGAAGGTACAGGAGGATCTTTCTCATAGCTACGATGTTCATCTTGAGCACGTGACCGAGAGTCGCCCCCTCGAAGTCGCAAACGATCCTGAGCCCCTCCGACGTGCCGTGCTGCATGTACCATTGGACGATGCTCATATCAAAAACGTTGACCGTCGTGTTAAAGTCGAACTTCTCCAGATCGTTGTCGAGTAGCCTGAATAGAATGATCTGATCGCCGCTGGGGGTTTTCTCCTCCAAGAGAAGATACTCCCTGTGACGATCAAGTGAGATTGGCACGCGGTGCGCGATTGGTTACTTACAAGACGTTAAAGTAGCTTTGAAATTCGGGCGATGACGGGTTTCTGTGAAGAAACAGCTCGGGACAGTGGGTGCGGTATGTGAAGAAGGCCTCGATTGTCGCTTTTGTCATTTCCATGCTGTAGTAGCAGCTGTGGAGGAAGAGTATGAGGTGAAGCTCTGAAACAGAAAGAGAACACAATCTCTGTATCTCCCTTTTCTAGATTTCTCTACCAAAGTAGACATTTGCACATGCGCCTTCATGTTTAGATCCGTCCGCCCCCTCACCCTCACTGCAATTGAGGCAAAATTTACCCGAAAATTTTCCTTCAGTATCCGCCTGCCCACCACTGTAAAACGCTAGGTTCAAACCTTTACAGTTTCCCCCGAGACGGGGAGCTCCATGGAATCTACGTCCAGGTTTGAAGCACCAGGTTGAAGGTTCCCCAGTTATTTAAACGAAAGATATTCTTAAAGTTGCGTTTTGTACTCTTCACCTTTAAATTTGGATAAAACTTTCGGCATGAGACGTGGAGCACCATGGCTTCCACGTCCCAGTTTGAAGCACCACGTTGAAAGTTTCTCTGTTTCATTACCAAAATTTACTCGTAAAGTTGCATTTATATCCTTCGCCTTCAAATTTGGGTTTCTAAGTTGAAATATTGACAGTTCGCTATGAGACCTGGAGCACCATGGCTTCCACGTCCCAGTTTGAAGCACCACGTTGAAAGTTTCTCTGTTTAGTTAACAAAATTTACTCGTAAAGTGCCATTTCTATCATTCGCCTTCAAATTTCGGTTTCTAAGTTGAAATATTGACAGTTCGCTATGAGACCTGGAGCACCATGACTTCCACGTCCCAGTTTGAAGCACCGGGTTGAAAGTTTCTCTGTTTAGTTAACAAAATTTACTCGTAAAGTTGCATTTCTATCCTTCGCGTTCAAATTTGGGTTTCTAAGTTGAAATATTGACAGTTCGCTATGAGACCTGGAGCACCATGGCTTCCACGTCTCAGTTTGAAGCACCAGGTAGAAAGTTTCTCTGTTTAGTTAACAAAGTTTACTCGTAAAGTTGCATTTCTATCCTTCGTGTTCAAATTTGGGTTTCTAAGTTGAAATATTAACAGTTCGCTATGAGACCTGGAGCACCGTGGCTTCCACGCCCCAGTTTGAAGCACCAGGTTGAAAGTTTCTCTGTTTCGTTAACAAAATTTACTCCCAAAGTTGCATTTCTATCCTTCATCTTCAAATTTGGATCCCTAAGCTGCAATATTAACATTTGGCCATGAGACCTGGAGCACCATGTCTTCCACGTCTTAGTTTGAAGCACCAGGTAGGAAGTTTCTCTGTTTCCTTACCAAAATTTACTCGTAAAGTTGCATTTCTATCCTTCGCGTTCAAATTTGGGTTTCTAAGTTGAAATATTGACAGTTCGCTATGAGACCTGGAGCACCATGGCTTCTACGTCCTAGTTAGAAGCACCAGGTTGAAAGTTTCTCTGTTTAGTTAACAAAATTTACTCGTAAAGTGCCATTTATATCCTTCGCCTTCAAATTTGAATCCCTAAGCAGAAATATTGACATTTCGCCCTGAGACCTGGAGCACCATGGCTTCCACGTCCCAGTTTGAAGCACCAGGTTGAAAGTTTCTCTGTTTCGTTAACAAAATTTACTCGTAAAGTTGCATTTCTATCCTTCGCGTTCAAATTTGGGTTTCTAAGTTGAAATATTGACAGTTCGCTATGAGACCTGGAGCACCATGGCTTGCACGTCTCAGTTTGAAGCACCAGGTTGAAAGTTTCTCTGTTTCATTACCAAAATTTACTCGTAAAGTTGCATTTCTATTCTTCGCCTTCAAATTTGGGTTTCTAAGTTGAAATATTGACAGTTCGCTATGAGACCTGGAGCACCATGGCTTCCACGTCTCAGTTTGAAGCACCAGGTAGAAAGTTTCTCTGTTTAGTTAACAAAATTTACTCGTAAAGTCGAATTTCTATCCTTCGTGTTCAAATTTGGGTTTCTAAGCTGAAATATTGACAGTTCGCTATGAGACTTGGAGCACCATGGCTTCCACGTCCGAGTTTGAAGCACCAGGTTGAAAGTTTCTTCGTTTCGTTAACAAAATTTACTCGTAAAGTCGAATTTCTATCATTCGCCTTCAAATTTCGGTTTCTAAGTTGAAATATTGACAGTTCGCTATGAGACCTGGAGCACCATGGCTTCCACGTCTCAGTTTGAAGCACCAGGTAGAAAGTTTCTCTGTTTAGTTAACAAAATTTACTCGTAAAGTCGAATTTCTATCCTTCGTGTTCAAATTTGGGTTTCTAAGCTGAAATATTGACAGTTCGCTATGAGACTTGGAGCACCATGGCTTCCACGTCCGAGTTTGAAGCACCAGGTTGAAAGTTTCTTCGTTTCGTTAACAAAATTTACTCGTAAAGTCGAATTTCTATCATTCGCCTTCAAATTTCGGTTTCTAAGTTGAAATATTGACAGTTCGCTATGAGACCTGGAGCACCATGGCTTCCACGTCCCAGTTTGAAGCACCACGTTGAAAGTTTCTCTGTTTAGTTAACAAAATTTACTCGTAAAGTGCCATTTCTATCATTCGCCTTCAAATTTCGGTTTCTAAGTTGAAATATTGACAGTTCGCTATGAGACCTGGAGCACCATGGCTTCCACGTCCCAGTTTGAAGCACCGGGTTGAAAGTTTCTCTGTTTAGTTAACAAAATTTACTCGTAAAGTTGCATTTCTATCCTTCGCGTTCAAATTTGGGTTTCTAAGTTGAAATATTGACAGTTCGCTATGAGACCTGGAGCACCATGGCTTCCACGTCTCAGTTTGAAGCACCAGGTAGAAAGTTTCTCTGTTTAGTTAACAAAGTTTACTCGTAAAGTTGCATTTCTATCCTTCGTGTTCAAATTTGGGTTTCTAAGTTGAAATATTAACAGTTCGCTATGAGACCTGGAGCACCGTGGCTTCCACGCCCCAGTTTGAAGCACCAGGTTGAAAGTTTCTCTGTTTCGTTAACAAAATTTACTCCCAAAGTTGCATTTCTATCCTTCATCTTCAAATTTGGATCCCTAAGCTGCAATATTAACATTTGGCCATGAGACCTGGAGCACCATGTCTTCCACGTCTTAGGTTGAAGCACCAGGTAGAAAGTTTCTCTGTTTCCTTACCAAAATTTACTCGTAAAGTTGCATTTCTATCCTTCGCGTTCAAATTTGGGTTTCTAAGTTGAAATATTGACAGTTCGCTATGAGACCTGGAGCACCATGGCTTCTACGTCCTAGTTAGAAGCACCAGGTTGAAAGTTTCTCTGTTTAGTTAACAAAATTTACTCGTAAAGTGCCATTTATATCCTTCGCCTTCAAATTTGAATCCCTAAGCAGAAATATTGACATTTCGCCCTGAGACCTGGAGCACCATGGCTTCCACGTCCCAGTTTGAAGCACCAGGTTGAAAGTTTCTCTGTTTCGTTAACAAAATTTACTCGTAAAGTTGCATTTCTATCCTTCGCGTTCAAATTTGGGTTTCTAAGTTGAAATATTGACAGTTCGCTATGAGACCTGGAGCACCATGGCTTCCACGTCTCAGTTTGAAGCACCAGGTTGAAAGTTTCTCTGTTTCATTACCAAAATTTACTCGTAAAGTTGCATTTCTATTCTTCGCCTTCAAATTTGGGTTTCTAAGTTGAAATATTGACACTTCGCTATGAGACTTGGAGCATCATGGCTTCCACGTCCCAGATTGCAGCACGAGGTTGAAAGTTTCTCTGTTTCTCGGCCGAATACTGAACATATTTTAATGGAAACCAATGCTCAACGAAACCGCTAATTAATCCAAGAGTCTATTTACGTTTAAAGGGACCCGCAGGCTCGAAGTAAAAAATTTCTAGCATACTGCAGTGCAGACGTCTTTGGCTTCACGAAAACTGAACGGTCTGGTGGCTCACCACCGAATGCCCTAATTCTATTTCAGCCTGGACTAATCCCTGCTTCTCTTTTAAAGTTTTGTAGCAGACCAAATTAGTTAACGCGACCATCTTTAATCAGGAACGAATCGCAATGGTTCAGTCCCACGAATCATGCGCGCTTAAAGACCATCAATCAAACCCACGTCCGTTTAATATTGCCAATTCGGCGCTTTGTAGGAAACCCGCACGAGATCATTCCGCGTCATCCTAACTGGGCACGTAGAACACATTAAGATAGTTTTATCGTCCGTCAGACTGCTTTTTAAGCCACTAACTCACACGGAAACAACCATACAATTACAGATCTGAACTTTGGCATTAAAGAACCTACATGCGGTCCAAATGAGGAAGCCCATGTTGGGGAAATTCTGGTCAAACATATTTTAGGTTCGTTAAGAAAATGGAAAAGCACGAACTGTATATTTTATTTCCAAAAAAGAGTTTTTGAGAGTTATTGCCACGCAAATTTGTAGGTAAACAAATCCATACTAATTGATCGGTTACCTTTAAATGTCAAAACCGAGGCCAACACGTGAGCCCTCGCATAAAATTTTCGGAAAATTAAAAAAAAACGTACCTGTAATTGGAGGTAAATGGGGCTGCTTCTCGGTCCATTCCTTCAGCTGCATCACATCTTCCTTCCTCAACTCCTTGTTCTTCTCGTACTCCGACTCGACGCTCGCAATTTTCATCGCGCCTCAAGCACTAAACAGATACTAGCCGTAACAACGCAACGATAACTTATAAACAAATACAGGTACATGTCGTGTTTAGATACTAACTCATGTCGTCAACAATTAAAAGGTTGAAGGTTAACGAGTTTTCATCGTACTACCGATTTGACGTTGATTAACGGTAGACACCCAATCATCCGAAATTGCGTTTAAATAAATACCTACGGCGTTATTTCCGGGACGGGTTATTTTCGGCAATGGTGACTTCCCATATTACGCGACTGGACTTAAAAAGAAGTTCTGGTTACCTAATCCACGACCTTGCACCGTTAATCAGAGCTAGTTACCTAACGAGCCAAAAGAATGTAATTATGAAAATTTAAAGCCCTCTTTAGATGACGAGTGTGGGAATAGTGCAATTGCAATTTTTTTAACCTTCAGGAAACTACTGGAACGAAACCCCTAATTTCCTGTAACGTGGAGGAAGTGATCCATCAACATAAACACGTACATTTCGAGCACGTACAAAAAACGAGTCGTCCTCGGATTAATCCTTTACTAGCTGATTAGTAGGTCACTTGAAATTACCTACTTGAGGTGCATCACAAGGTTCCATCCTTAGACCGTTGCTATTCTCTACCCCTTCCGATTTTAGACAAACTAATCTTGAGATTTCAGCAAAAACTGATTTTTTGTATAGACTAAGATAGAAAAAGTAAAAGAACACAAGAGAAAACAAGAACAAGAAAATTTATAATGGATGCAGATAAGGGACTTAGGCCCGGTTGTACAATGTCCGGTTAAACTTCAGTTTGGTTTAACCGACAGATTTGAGAAATACGATTGGCCAGCTTGTGAAATATTAGCCAATCAAATCCTTTAACCCACAATTCAACTATAAACTGAAGTTTAAACTGACATTATACAACCGGGCCTTAAAGGACAACAGGAAGCAGAATATGGTAGGAGAGGTTTAAAGAAGACGAGAAAGGGTGGAATAGAGCCATACAAGGCACAGTAGCAAGAAAAGACAAAGATGGATAGCTCTGGACCCGGAAAAAGAGGGAAATGAAATGACAGTACAAGTGAAGGAAAGAATACCACCAGGTACTACAATTTTCCACAAGAGGGCTCAGACTGTCATAATCAGTTTTTAGAAAAGGACAGACGAATCTTTCTTCCTATGAAGTATACTAACACTAAATGATTTTGGGAAAGAACGTAGCAGCGGGGGGTACAGAATGCCCCCCAGCAGTACCCTCAGCGAAGGAACACTCGATATTTTTTCTCTATTACACCCAAACAAACTTATATTGGTTTTTCAGAAAGAGTAATTAAATTTTCATATGCTGCCTATGGGGTATTCCATGCCCCCCCAGACCCACCGGTGCTACGATTTCCTATAAGAGTGCCTAGACTGTCATAATCAGTTTTTAGAAAAGGACAGACGAATCTTACTTTCCTGTGGAGTGATTTTGGAGAAGAACTTAGCACCGAGGGTCTGGGGGAAATGGAATGCCCCCTAGCGGTACCCTCAGCGAAGGAACACTCGATATTTTTTCTTTATTACACGCAAACAAACTCATATTGGCTTTTCAGAAAAAGTTATTAAATTTTCATATACTGCCTGGGGGTATTCTATACCCCTCAGAACCCCCGGTGCTACGATTTCCCATAAGAGTGCCTAGACTGTTATAATCAGTTTTTAGAAAAGGACAGACGAATCTTTCTGTCCTGTAGAGTAACACTTAATGATTTTGGAAAGGAATGTAGCTCTGGGGGGCATGGAATGCCCCCCAGCAGCACCCTCAGCGAAGGAACACTCGATATTTTTTCTCTATTACACCCAAACAAACTCATATTGGCTTTTCAGAAAAAGTTATTAAATTTTCATATGCTGCCTGGGGGGTATTCCAGACCCCCCGGTACTACGATTTCCCATAAGACTGCCTAGACTGTCAGAATCAGTTTTTAGAAAAGGAAAGAAGAATCTTACTTTCTTGTGGAGAGATTTTGGAAAAGAACGTAGCACCGGGGGGTCTGGGGGGCATAAAATGCCCCCCAGCAGTACTCTCGGCGAAGGAACACTCGATATTTTTTCTCTATTACACCCAAAACAAACTCGTATTGGCTTTTCACAAAAAGTAATTAAATTTTCATACGTTGCCTGGGGGGTATTCCATACCCCCTAGACCCCCCCCCCCGGTACTACGATTTCCCATAAGGGTGCCTAGACTGTCATAATCAGTTTTTGGAAAAGGACAGACGAATCTTTCTGTCCTGTAGAGTAACACTTAATGATTTTGGAAAGAAATGTAGCACCGGGGGGTCTGGGGGGCATGGAATGCCCCCCAGCAGTACCCTCAGCGAAGGAACACTCGATATTTTTTTCTCTATTACACCCAAACAAACTCATATTGGCTTTTCAGAAAAAGTAATTAAATTTTCATATGCTGTCTGGGGGTTATTCCATACCCCCCCCAGACCCCCCGGTACTACGATTTCCCATAAGGGTGCCTAGACTGTCATAATCAGTTTTTGGAAAAGGACAGACGAATCTTTCTGTCCTGTAGAGTAACACTTAATGATTTTGGAAAGAAATGTAGCACCGGGGGGTCTGGGGGGCATGGAATGCCCCCCAGCAGTACCCTCAGCGAAGGAACACTCGATATTTTTTTCTCTATTACACCCAAACAAACTCATATTGGCTTTTCAGAAAAAGTAATTAAATTTTCATATGCTGTCTGGGGGTTATTCCATACCCCCCCCCAGACCCCCCGGTACTACGATTTCCCATAAGGGTGCCTAGACTGTCATAATCAGTTTTTGGAAAAGGACAGACGAATCTTTCTGTCCTGTAGAGTAACACTTAATGATTTTGGAAAGAAATGTAGCACCGGGGGGTCTGGGGGGCATGGAATGCCCCCCAGCAGTACCCTCAGCGAAGGAACACTCGATATTTTTTTCTCTATTACACCCAAACAAACTCATATTGGCTTTTCAGAAAAAGTAATTAAATTTTCATATGCTGCCTGGGGGTTATTCCATACCCCCCCAGCCCCCAGACCCCCCGGTACTACGATTTCCGATAAGAGTGCCTAGGCTGTCAGAATCAGTTTTTAGAAAAGGACAGACGAATCTTTCTGTCCTGTAGAGAAGGAACACTCGATATTTTTTTCTCTATTACACCCAAACAAACTCATATTGGCTTTTCAGAAAAAGTAATTAAATTTTCATATGCTGCCTGGGGGTTATTCCATACCCCCCCAGCCCCCAGACCCCCCGGTACTACGATTTCCGATAAGAGTGCCTAGGCTGTCAGAATCAGTTTTTAGAAAAGGACAGACGAATCTTTCTGTCCTGTAGAGAAGGAACACTCGATATTTTTTTCTCTATTACACCCAAACAAACTCATATTGGCTTTTCAGAAAAAGTAATTAAATTTTCATATGCTGCCTGGGGGTTATTCCATACCCCCCCAGACCCCCCGGTACTACGATTTCCTATAAGGGTGCCTAGACTGTCATAATCAGTTTTTAGAAAAGGACAGACGAATCTTTCTGTCCTGTAGAGTAACACTTAATGATTTTGGAAAGAAATGTAGCACTGGGGGTCTGGGGGACATGGAATGCCCCCCAGCAGTACCCTCAGCGAAGGAACACTCGATATTTTTTTCTCTATTACACCCAAACAAACTCATATTGGCTTTTCAGAAAAAGTAATTAAATTTTCATATGCTGCCTGGGGGGTATTCCAGACCCCCCAGCCCCCCCCCCCTTCCATACCCCCCAGCCCCCCCCCCCCAGGTGCAACGTTTTCCCACAAAAGGGCCCAGGCTCTCACAATTACTTTTTAGAGAAGAACAGACGGATGTTTCTTCTCTGTGGAGTATGCTGACACCAAAAGTTTTTGGAGAACCTTGCAACCCCCCCACCCCCAGCAGTACCCTCAGCAAAAGGAAGATTTGATAATTTTCTTCTCTGTTATCCCTAACAACCTCATGCTAGGGAAATAAACAAAAAGGGCAATAGAGGACAGTGTGGGGTAGAAGACAACTAGAGCAGGAGGGGAGGCAGCAGATGTAGAAAGGGCGAGGGGGTACAGAAACAAACAAAAGTTCCAAACGTTGCAGTAACAATAAAGTGTTGGAAAATGTCTCTTATGGTTAAAGAATTTTTTTGTCTCTGCGTTGTCCTGGTACCCAGCAAAAGTGAAGGTTCGAAGTAATGCTCATTTGGGCTTGAGATCGTGTTATCCGGTTAGTCGGAGAGGTAGAAAATGAGAGAGGCCAGGAGGAGGTAATTTCGATCAATTATTTTAATAGGTATTCAATATTCTCGAATGAGTGAAAAAGTTGTCAAAGTGTAAGATACGTTGTTGCAATTAATTGATAAATACAAATCGCATGCATGAAACAGGTTAAAAACAAGTTGCAAAATAAAGAACTGGTGTAAGTACAGGCAGGAAACCAAATCAGGTACCTAGTTGACTCGTCTTTGGTGCAATAAAACCCTTTGGTTAAAGGCAACATGGAAAATTAAATGGCCTTGGAAGCCAAATTAGTGAAACGCAAATCACACCGTACATAGATTCTAAACTGAAAAGTTTTCGTTGGCAGGGCTTCCCCGGCGACTTGTAACTGGCCCCTCGTTCGGGGTATCCCAGCCCACAGTTGTAGCTTCGGGTCAAAGCATGCGGATAAGTAGAAAATCGACATTTTCATTATATGGTTGTGGAGAGGTCACTTTGTTTTCGGTCTTATTCGACGCCCCAGAACGAAAGAATTAAAATAAATCTCCAAAAATTCGCCATATCAAAAATCGCAGATGTCGAAACTACTTATCGAAGTATTTACCTATTTTTACCGTTTTATCGGATTACAGATTAATATTGACTGCACCATAATCAGTTAGTTAAACGTCTTGTTTACGAAAACACAGGCAACTATTTATCTGTCGCGCAATTTGGATAAGCATGAGAGATTGTACCATTTGATTGTGTGATTAGTAAACACTTGGGAAATGAGAGTTTTACGAAAATTAGGTGAATGCTGGACGGTGCAAAAAAAACCTTCGTAAGGTGATTTCGACACATCTCGAAAGACAGATTCTTGATCCTTCTCAGGATCCTGCAAATTTGCGTAGGTTTTGTTCACTTTAGACTCTACCACGAGTCTTTGATTGTTTTCTGGTGCCGTCATATGCCTTTCTCGGTCCCTGATGACAATAACATTCAAGCAGACATAATGTGGCCTTAGAAAACTGCGTCTGCCGAGCGAGCCGAAAGCTTGTTCCGCATAAATTCGGTTCACTCTAGTTTCTAGTATTTTTATTTGGAGTTACCCTGTAAAATTTCTGACTTGGCTGTACGATGCCCGGAAAAACTTTCGCTCAAGTGAATCCTAGAACGAATTTTACTGCGTCAACCGACGTGTTCCTCTTAGATGGTTTGTATACCGAATCTGTCGAGAAAACTTTGAGCTACAGATTCGTGGCGCAAATATGAATGCTTTCAAAAATCTCCCCGGAATAATCCCTACCAGTTGTTTGTTAATTAATTCACTCTCTTTTCAAGATGGCATCTACGAGTATTGTTATAGCAACTTTTGTTCTGAACGAATTTTATGGCACCATGTGACACTTTCGTTGCCCAAACCCGAAAGTTTTCACAAAATCTCGGGAATAATCCCTACCTACCTGTTCAGCAGACAGTCCGAAACATCTCCAAAATTCCAATTTAATTCAAAATCTTCTGTTTCATAGAACCTTCCCTGTTTCAGAGCTTTTCCTACCCACTAGAGGTTTTCAACCCTCCTGAATATTTCCCAAGGTGCCCTAGGGGCTTAGGAGTTTTACATTTCCTAGCGCCACCTAAAGATTTTTAGCCCGTCTCGGCTCACTCCGAGTCCTTTATTTTCCTTTATTGATTCAACGTTTCGCAGCCTAAAGGCCTCCGGGTTTCACTAAAGGATTTTTCAGCCCGCCCGACACCTAAGTTCCTGTGGTGCAGATGAGGTAATCCAATATTTTGCCGAATTAGATTATCCACTCGAGAGATACTGATAAGTGCGATTGGCATTGGTATAAAATGTGGTTTTTGTAGATTATTCCGCTATCAAAGTAGGTGTACGCCGTTTATTTTTTCTCTGGAACCATGTCTCCAATTATTGCACTCTGTTTGGCACTTTGCTTCGTTCAGGCGACCTTGGCAGCAGGTGAGTGCTCCAACATGTTTTGACACATGTACACATTATCGTTATTAGATCAAAAATGCGAAGCCAACGCCGTGTTTAGAGCCAACAAAGTCTGCGAACCTTTCTGCGGACAAAACTGGGTAGATTTAGCGTTTGAATGCACCACCAATCTCAAGCAGGGCTGCGTCTGCATACCGGGCTACATAAGAAACCCGGCCGATAAGTCGTGCGTATTATCGGAGGATTGTCCTGGAGCGAGGAAAGATTAAGTGGAATAGACGGAGAGCGTAAATTATGTTGTATTGTCTCAATAAAAAATTTTCAAAAAAACTTCAATCTCCTCAAATCCAAAACACGTATCTTTACCCATGAGCTACGTACGCTATCAGAAGTGTTTTTTCCGAATTCAGTAAATGAGTGGAAGGTTTTGTAACAAGAACTCCTTGGTAGAGGGAAGGTGAGAGGAAATTTTTCCAAATTTCTCCATTTGTCGATTGCATTTCCTAAGCTACAATGGTTCTGGAGTGGAATCTCCTTTGTCCCTAAGACAACAATTCAACAATGCCTTTCAAGAAGTCTTATCGGGTCCTCCTTTGCAAAGAAGTATTGCATACTACACAGCACCTAGAGGTCTGGGGGGTATGGAATACCCCCCAGCAGAGAGAGTACCTACTCGGCAAATGACGACTCGATGAATCATTTCCCTCTAACCCTCGGTACTGTAATGGGTTCTGGAAATGACAATGGTACCTATGTATACTGGAGGGCATGGAATACCCCCTAGACCCACCGATAACACTTTCATCCCCACAAAACGTTTAGCCATTAGGACTGTCATAATGGTTCTTTGGAAAATTATCGGATCCTCTTTTACACAGTATTGCATAGGGCATACCGCCGGGGGGTTTCGAATACACCCCAGGGTACTCGGCAAAGGACGACACTATAAATCCTAATCCTCCAAACTAAATGGGTTCTAGGAATGACAATGGAATCTCTGCATATCTCTCCAGACCCCACGGTAACACTTTCAACCCAGTAAAACGTTTGGCCCTTGGGAGGGGGGGGGGGAATACCTGGGGGTATTCCAATACCCCTCAGACCTCATGGTAACACTTTCAACCCCGCAAAACGTTTAACGCTCGGTACTCCCAAAATGGTTTTTTTTTGGAAAATCATCGGACAATTTTATACAAAGAATTATTGCATAGAACACAGCGCCGGTAAGTTTCGGGGGTATGGAATATCCCCCCCCCCCAAACAGCTGATAGAATACTCGGAAAAGGATGACTCGGGTTCTAGGAATAAAGGTCGACTCAATATATTAACAATAATACCTCCCCCCCCCCTCCCGACCCACCGGTAACACTTTCCATCACAAAACGTTTGGTCCACAGGACTCTCATTAAAGTTTGTTTTTTTGGAAAACCTTTGGATCCTCTTTTACAAAGAAGTATTGCATAGAACACAGCGCGGGGGGGGGGGGGTATTGGAGCGCCGGTAGGTTTCGGGGGTATGGAATCCCCCTCCCTCCCCCAGCTGATAGAATACTCGGCAAAGGGCGACTCGGGTTCTAGGAATGACAATCTCTGCCTCCAGCAAAGAAGACACTCGGTAAAGGTCGACCCGATATATCTTTTCCCTTGAACTTTCGCTACTCGCATGGGTTCTGGGAAAACAACAATACCTGGGTGCTGAAGCAGGAAAGTGGAACCGGAGGAACTGCGAACGTAGTGCTGTAGAATCTGGAAGCGAGGTTGGCAACTGTAAACTAAACGCTCAAAACTGAACCCAGGAAGTTAGAATCTAGAAGCTCTTTGGAAGCGGGTACTATCAACTGGGTGCTGGAAGCAGGAAAGTGGAACCGGAGGAACTGCGAACGTAGTGCTGTAGAATCTGGAAGCGAGGTTGGGAACTGTAAACTAAACGCTCAAAACTGAACCCAGGAAGTTAGAATCTAGAAGCTCTTTGGAAGCGGGTACTATCAACTGGGTGCTGGAAGCAGGAAAGTGGAACCGGAGGAACTGCGAACGTAGTGCTGTAGAATCTGGAAGCGAGGTTGGGAACTGTAAACTAAACGCTCAAAACTGAACCCAGGAAGTTAGAATCTAGAAGCTCTTTGGAAGCGGGTACTAGCAACTGGGTGCTGGAAGCAGGAAAGTGGAACCGGAGGAACTGCGGGCGTTGCTCTATTTTCAACGACTGGTGAACTCGATTTTTAAAGGGAGGAAAAGCCTTTAGGAATTCAAGCTCTTCTGGAAGATTCATGTACCCGCTTTCAGGATTTTGAAATCCTCTGAAAACTGTTTGCGAACTTTAAAGGTCCTTTAGTATGATCTTGAGTAAATTCAAAGACTGCAAATGCTCTAAAAATTAATTAAAAGCTTTCAAATCCCCTACAACTCTCTTTAGATACCCTTGAAGAAGACCGTTAAGCTCTACGGATATTGAACACTCTTGGAGAACCTGACTTGGAGAGCCGTTGCTCAAAGTTTTTCCAGCTTTCGTCGTTTAAAAATCAACAGGATTAATTTTTTCAGGGGATCGACGTGTTCACAGAGACCAAGGGCAATAAAGGATCACGAGGATCAAGAAGAAAGAATATCTGGTGGATAGAGGGAGTCGAGACGATTGAGAAGATCAAGAGTGGTTCCTTTGGTCAGCAAATACTTCATAAGTAAACAAAACATTTACACAAACGACAAACACTTACTTTTTCCAATCGGCACCAGATTAGATAAGCTTTGTTTTGCGTTGGGTATAAAATGCAAAATCACTTAATGCGACACTAGTGAATTAGAACTGACACTCCATTGCATATCTCCAGCGCTTGGTAAGTTTATTCTTCCATGTATCGAGGACGACTGACTTGTTCCATCTTGCAGCAGATTTTTTGGGAATTACAATGTCTCGCATTGCTCTTCTGTGTTTAGGAATGTGCTTGATCCAATTGACCTTGGCTGGTAAGTTAAGGCATAGCCTCCAAGTGTAAGTACATTTTAATTTAATTAGAACCGTGTGGACCAAATGCCGAGTATAAGGAGCACATCCATTGTGAACCTTTTTGTGGGCAACCAAAGCATCCAAAGGAATGGACGTGCACCACCGCTCCAACTATCAGCTGCATCTGTAAAAAAGGATATGTGAGAGATAGAAGGGTCACTCAAGAATGTATGAGGCAAGAACACTGTCCGATTTAGCACTTCAAATGTACCGTTCCTTTTATGTAGGTAATCGAAATATTTTAATAAACAAATAATTCTGAAGAATCAACAGATCCAAATGTTCCTAAAAAATTCTAAAGGCTTTAAAGTTTTTAAAAATTGCTGAACGACCCTTACAGTTTTGTTAACTGTCGTAGAAGACCTCTAGAATCCCTTAGAGACCTTTGAGTATATCTAAATATTTTGACGAATTCCTAAATTTCGTAAAGGCTTATAAAGTCTCTAAAAAAACCTCGAACCTCTTGAACACCATCAAACAGGGCTCTTGGAAGCTGTAAGGTTATGCCTAATTATTATTATAGTGTTAGGGGTAGTCCCAGTCGGTTCCTGCACTGCTCCCCGGTATCGTCTACCCTTCAAGAGTACTTGTATCTTCCACAAAGTCCTTTGATAGGGCGAACCCTCCTTACTTCGTCTTGCCTATTTTTTCACTTCCAAGTAGGCGTTTCCTTGCCCTTGTGAATGCTTCACATTGGCAAATTACGTGGTGTGGTGTTTCTTCCTCCTCGCCACAACACCTGCACAACGGGCTATCAGTCAGTCCCATTTTGTGCAGGTTGTTTGTTAAAATGACAGTAACCTGTGACCATTTCTGTCTCTTCACAAGAAAAAGAAAGGTAGCGGGTCTTCTAACTCCCCTGCTATTCTAAAAACACCTCCAATTTCCAGAGTCAGTGAAATATCTAGGAAACACACTTTCTGACTTCCTGGCAAAGCCGCCGCGCAATTTGGATACTTTCGGGACCATCCCCGAAGGCTGTCTTGTAGTTGTAAAAGTGTATACTGCCGTGATAAGACATATGCTCTGCTATGGAGCAATTGTCTGGTGGCTCTCCGCAACTGTTGCACTTCTTAACCATGTGCAAAGATTGACGGCCGTCATCGAGATCCTTCTGGGTCTGCTAGTTCCACTTGATCTCCACGTGAAAAAGCAGGTCACTCTGGTATCCTTGCGTCAGAAAAGTAAAGTGCTGTTGAATGGCAGAAATACTGAGGTGGGGTCACTTTCAAATTGTGGGAGAGGCGATCCAGCGATTTCCTATTCTAGAAAGGCGATCGGACTCACTCACTACTCACACTAAGCTCACTTCCTGCTGTATTCCAATCAGAGTGGCCTCAAAACAGGTGTTTTATGCTCCAGAGCCGGCTCTTCCACTTACAGTGCCTCCCCTTCCAGGATCCCTAAGTTCATCTCACGTATGGGATGGTTTGAGTGAAGTTGAGGGGTCGGGCCACTCTTGTCAGAGAGGTATAGTACAAAGGGCTCGAATTTGAGGCCTAGGTACGCGAGAATCCTGTCCGCCATCATATCGTAATTGAGATCCAGATGCACTGCAAAGCTGTGGTATATTAGGATTCAATGTTTTGGAAGTTTTTTAGAGCCTTTAAGACTCTCTTCAACGTTTTCAAAATCTCCCAAATGCACAGGAATGCTTTTAAAGGCTCGACATTTACAGACAGCGGACATTCCTTTTAAAGGTTTCACCATGAAAGGCTCTCAACACATCTAGAAAACCAAAATTCATGGAGGTCCTTAAATAGTTAAAAAAAACTGAAAAATCCTATTTTTAAAAGGTCTTCTGGATTTTATCCCTGAAGTCAGTAAAGGTCCCTAAAGCGTGTGCTCTTAAATGGTCAAGGAACTGCAAATAGTTTCTCTTGATCATTCTTGGACGCTAACGAGGTTCGTGACCGATTTTAGAAACTCCTTAGCGAGCTGGATCCACTTGAAATTGGGGCCGAAAGACAGAGGGTCGGTCTGAATTGTGGCGAACTCACCCTCGGTTTGCTCGGAATTGATTAATTTGACGATTATTTATTCGGTATTTCAATAAAAAGATGGAATTGCAGAGCGAACCGAAGGTGAGTTCGGCACGAACTGGGCCCACTTCTCAAATTGAGACCGGAAAACAGGGGAGGGATTTCAATTATGTTGAACTCACCTTCGGTTCACTCGACAATGATTACTTTGACGATTATTTATTCGGTATTCCAATAAAAAGATAGAATTACCGAGCGAACCGAAGGTGAGTTCGGCACGAACTGGGCCCACTTCTCAAATTGAGACCGGAAAACAAGGGAGGGATTTAATTTATGTTGAACTCACCTTCGGTTCACTCGACAATGATTAATTTGACGATTATTTATTCGGTATTTCAATAAAAAGATGGAATTGCCGAGCGAACCGAAGGTGAGTTCGGCACGAACTGGGCCCACTTCTCAAATTGAGACCGTAAAACACGGGAGTGATTTCAATTATGTTGAAATCACCTTCGGTTCACTCGACAATGATTAATTTGACGATTATTTATTCGGTATTCCAATAAAAAGATGGAATTGCCGAGCGAACCGAGGGTTAGTTCGGCACGAACTGGGCCCACTTCTCAATTTGAGACCGGAAAACACGGGAGGGATTTCAATTATGTTGAACTCACCTTCGGTTCACTCGATAATGATTAATTTGACGATTATTTATTCGGTATTTCAATAAAAAGATGGAATTGCCGAGCGAACCGAAGGTGAGTTCGGCACGAACTGGGCCCACTTCTCAAATTGAGACCGGAAAACACGGGAGGGATTTCATTTATGTTGAAATCACCTTCGGTTCACTCGACAATGATTAATTTGACGATTATTTATTCGGTATTCCAATAAAAAGATGGAATTGCCGAGCGAACCGAAGGTGAGTTCGGCACGAACTGGGCCCACTTCTCAAATTGAGACCGGAAAACAGGGGAGGGATTTCATTTATGTTGAACTCACCTTCGGTTCACTCGACAATGATTAATTTGACGATTATTTATTCGGTATTCTAATAAAAAGATGGAATTGCCGAGCGAACCGAGGGTTAGTTCGGCACGAACTGGGCCCACTTCTCAAATTGAGACCGGAAAACACGGGAGGGATTTCATTTATGTTGAACTCACCTTCGATTCACTCGACAATGATTAATTTAACGATTATTTATTCGGTATTCCAATAAAAAGATAGAATTGTCGAGCGAACCGAAGGTTAGTTCGGCACGAACTGGGCCCACTTCCCAAATTGAGACTGGAAAACACGGGAGGGATTTCAATTATGTTGAACTCACCTTCGGTTCACTCGACAATGATTAATTTGACGATAATTTATTCGGTATTTCAATAAAAAGAGGGCATTGCCGAGCGAACCGAAGGTGAGTTCGGCACGAACTGGACCCACTTCTGATTGGGGGCGAGAAACACGGGGGTGATTTAAATTGTACGGAACTCACCTTTTGTTTTTGCTCGACATTGATTAACTTGACGTTTATTTATTCGGTATTGCAGTAAAGAGGGCATTGCCGAGCGAACCGAAGGTGAGTTCGGCACGAACTGGACCCACTTCTGATTGGGGGCGAGAAACACGGGGGCGATTTTAATTGTACCGAACTCACCTTTTGGTTCACTCGAAATTGATTAACTTGACGTTTATTTATTCGGTATTGCAGTAAAGAGGGCATTGCCGAGCGAACCGAAGGTGAGTTCGGCACGAACTGGACCCACTTCTGATTGGGGGCGAAAAACACGGGGGTGATTTTAATTGTACTGAACTCACCTTTTGTTTTTGCTCGACATTGATTAACTTGACGTTTATTTATTCGGTATTGCAGTAAAGAGGGCATTGCCGAGCGAACCGAAGGTGAGTTCGGCACGAACTGGACCCACTTCTGATTGGGGGCGAAAAACACGGGGGTGATTTTAATTGTACTGAACTCACCTTTTGTTTTTGCTCGACATTGATTAACTTGACGTTTATTTATTCGGTATTGCAGTAAAGAGGGCATTGCCGAGCGAACCGAAGGTGAGTTCGGCACGAACTGGACCCACTTCTGATTGGGGGCGAGAAACACGGGGGCGATTTTAATTGTACCGAACTCACCTTTTGACTCGAAATTGATTAACTTGACGTTTATTTATTCGGTATTGCATAAAGAGGGCATTGCCGAGCGAACCGAAGGTGAGTTCGGCACGAACTGGACCCACTTCTGATTGGGGGCGAAAACACGGGGGTGATTTTAATTTTACTGAACTCACCTTTTGTTTTTGCTCGACATTGATTAACTTGACGTTTATTTATTCGGTATTGCAGTAAAGAGGGCATTGCCGAGCGAACCGAAGGTGAGTTCGGCACGAACTGGACCCACTTCTGATTGGGGGCGAAAAACACGGGGGTGATTTTAATTTTACTGAACTCGCCTTTGGTTTTACTCGACATTGATTAACTTGACGTTTATTTATTCGGTATTGCATTAAAGAGGGCATTGCCGAGCGAACCGAAGGTGAGTTCGGCACGAACTGGACCCACTTCTGATTGGGGGCGAGAAACACGGGGGCGATTTTAATTGTACCGAACTCACCTTTTGTTTTTGCTCGACATTGATTAACTTGACGTTTATTTATTCGGTATTGCATTAAAGAGGGCATTGCCGAGCGAACCGAAGGTGAGTTCGGCACGAACTGGACCCACTTCTGATTGGGGGCGAAAAACACGGGGGTGATTTTAATTGTACTGAACTCACCTTTTGTTTTTGCTCGACATTGATTAACTTGACGTTTATTTATTCGGTATTGCAGTAAAGAGGGCATTGCCGAGC